CTGCAGCGCAGGGGCTCCTGCTGAGTGAGGCGGCCGGGCAGCCGGGTCCACTTTTCCACTGAGCCTTTCCTATGCTGCTTGCTTTTCACCCAGACGCACCTGCTCCTCCCCATGCCTGCTGCTGAGTCAGCACCAATAACCTGAGGTTAGGTGTAGTTCCTCTAAATCTCTTATTTGTGTCAGAAGCAAATAAGAAATGTCGATGCTTAAAATACTGACGGGTTCATAGAATTTCTCCGTCCTTCAAATGTTCCCATGTTTATAAGCTGGCAGCTGGCTGGGCCACTTAGGCCTGTCGTGTGAGGTGCTTTGAGTCGGCCGACTCGCGGAAACCCAGTGGACCACAGAACAAAACCCCGCGCCTGCGTCGTCCTCACACGCTTTATTTGGCTTGAACCCCACGGCAGCCACTGTGTCTATCCATCTCAGTGAAGGTCTCCCTCAATTTTGCCCACAACAGATTAGGTCTACAACGTATCTTTTTTCAAATTCCACATTAGTTGTTAACTTTTAAAAATTCATAAATTTCAAATAAATAAACTGAAATGCTTCATTTCTTCTTGAAACATGCGGAGTCTCAGTATCAGCTGGAGAGCAACTGTCCCTGTCCCTGGGGTCCTGACCTGACCACTATGCCAGCGACGACACCAGTGTGTCTGACAGGCTCCCACACCTATTGAGCCGACCACCCTCTTTCAGAAGAGTAACTCAGTGTACCGCTGGCAATTAAAACTTTTGTGATCTAGCCCATAACCATGGGTAAAATGTGGCAATCTGCTTTTCCAGCCCTTCTGGATTATTCCAGGACCCCCAGAGGGTGGCATTACGTACTTTGGGAAACTCTGCTTTAGGTCTCCAAAGTGCCAAGAGGCCCCTTTATAAATAAGGTGGGTGTTATTTTGGGGGGTGGGGGAGTTTGGGGGCAGGTTTGCAGTAAGGTTGGGGAAGATGATGTCAAGGAGTACAGGAAAGAAAGAATGTTTAGAATATTGTAAATATTGTACAATTGTACAATATTGCTTGACATGAATGAACTGCAGAATGATATAATGCTATATGTATTAACTCTCAATTAATAAATTTTTAAAATAAAATAATGAATACAAAAAGGAAGAAAATGCTCTAAAATTAATTGCAGTGATGAACATACAACTTTCATTAATATGACTGAACTATGGAAATGTATGATAAATTAATTATATGCCAATTCAATTTATTTTAAAGGAGAAAACACCTCTTTCCATCCTCATAAAGGCATCCCAGCAGCAGCATCAAGCTGAGAGCCGGCTATGCACTTACTTATATTTGTAATCCACGATCTGGACTTCGAATGCAGACACCGTCTTCAGTGCATTTACAAGCTGAAGGGGGTAGGGGTGGGGTGGACAAAGAGAGAAACATTCAGAACTTCCTTTCCTTTTTTCTCTTCTGATTTACTTTCCCTTATGGACTCTGGTGTAAAACATTATATGCCCCATATACCATTCCCCCCTTTTTAATACCCTTGGGTCTACTGTTCAACCTTTCATTGAGCTAAAACCCAGGTTCCGCACCCACCCACTGGATGTATGATGTCACCTCTCTCAAGTCCCACCTCCCTGGGCTGTTAGGGTTTAGAGAGA